ATTATTTTCATTTGCCATTGGAATCATTTGTAGTGTTTTAAATCTGTGGTCAGTCTTGTCGGTCGGACGTTTTCTATAAAGTTTGATATCTTGTTTGTAAATGTTTTAGATTGCCGAAAAGACGCATTGTAAATTGCACTTAAATTTGCTCAAACCAAATATGTGGAACTGTTTTTTTTTCTTTTATGGATTACACAAATTGTTGCTCAGTGACACTTTTATTGTTGTTCCTACAGGATTTTGGACAGTCAGGACTAGAAGATGCTTGTAACCATCTTCCTGCTGCTGGTTGCTCTCTGTGCCAACAGAGGGTGCGGTGAGGACAGCGAAGCGGTGCAGAGACCTGGCCACGTGTCTGTCATCGTAGTGGGGGCAACGGGGGACCTGGCGCGGAAATACCTGTGGCAGGGATTCTTCCAGCTGTATGTTCAGCAGGTCGGCAGCGGGCACACCTTCACCTTCTACGGGGGAGGACTGTCCCCAGCTGAGACGGCCACGCCGGTCCTGTTCGAGATCCTGAAGGCGGTCTCGTGCTCGAAGGATGTCTCGCAGGAACGCTGCGCCGTCTTAAAAGAGCAGTTCCTGCGTGTCTCCCAGTATCGGCAGCTGAAAACCGTGGAGGACTACCAGGACCTGGCCAAGCACATAGAGCAACAGCTTCGGAAAGAGGGGATGACTGAGGAAGGGAGGCTCTTCTACCTCTCTGTTCCAGCTTTTGCTTATACAGATATAGCTGAGAAGATTAACGGCACTTGTAGGCCCGCTGGTGGGATTTGGCTGAGGGTCGTGCTCGAAAAACCTTTTGGACACAACTACAGGAGCGCTCAAGTGCTCGCAACTGAGCTCAGAAGCTTTCTGAATGAAGACGAAATGTACAGGATTGACCACTACTTGGGAAAGCAGGTAAAAATAATCTACAATGTGTTTTTGTTTTGTTGTACTTGCAATTTAGGTGTTAAATTTTATATTTTTTTCTTTTTCGGGAAACAAAAAAAGGTTGTGTCAAAGATACTTCCCTTTAGGACAGAGAACAGAAAAGCGTTGGATCCCATCTGGAACAGGCACCACATCGAGAGAATAGAGATTGTTTTGAAGGAGACGCTTGACTGTAAAGGTAACTAAGCATTTTAAAAATACAAATTTAATAAGGAGAATGGCTGAAAAAGGCCGTGATTTTAGGTTTTATGCATCAAAGGTCATCTGAGGCACGCCCTGAACCCCATATGTATAAAACCACAAGCACATAGTGTCAGGCACCGTAGTTGAGGGCTGTAGATCTTGGCTTGTTTTGCAGCAACAGACCATTCAGTCTCTAGACCAGTGATTCCCAACCAGGGGTACGTGTACCCTTTGGGGTATGTGAGCGTATTACATGGGGTACGTGGAAAAAAATTAACCAGATGTGTAAAAAAATTAATGAAATAGGACTGAGGTAGGGCCCTATGATTTCAGCAATGCAGAAAATGCAGATGAAATCACGGAATTGACACAAAATGRAACCCAGTATAAAAGCAGAATCTCATGGAATTTGCTCATTTGGGYGAGTTTTTGACGTTTTTTGGAAAATACAATAGATTTTGGACGCTTCCATTACCTGGTTTATTTACTTAATTACTTATTCACTTTCAAGGCAACGTTTTTATCTTTATGTTTAATTTGAGTTGAAAAGAATAAAATGCCAAGGAATTAAAAGTTCTAGGGGGTTAAATAAATAATTTTCATTTAATAATCAGTTGACGTATACATTATAGTTTCAGAGAATCATCATTACATTTGACTGAGGGGGTACTAGTGGTATGACAAAATGGCTCAAGCGGTAAACAGGTCTAAAAAGGTTGGGAACCACTGATCTAGACTGGGCAAAACTGAGTCCTGCAACAATCCAAGGATCTCATGGACACCAGCAAATACAATAAAACTTAAAATAAGTTTTTTTATTAAATTGTAAGATCCAATAAAGCTACGATCCTTCTTAATTATGTACAAATCCTTAAACATTATTGTGTACTCACTTTCCACAGTGACTTCTTTGTAAATTTTCGTTCCTTAAAGGTCGTATTGCCTTCTACGATGAGTACGGGGTGATCCGAGACGTCCTACAAAACCACCTCACTGAGGTCATGACGCTGCTGACCATGAAACTCCCTGCGAACGTGAGCGACAGTGGAGAGGTTCTCCGAAACCGGCTGCAGGTCCTCAATTCCATGCTGCCTTTAGGGAAAAACCAAGCTGTGACTGGACAGTACCAAGCCTACAAAACTGAGGTTCAGCAAGAGCTGAATAAAACCAAGGATCACGTCAGCGTGACTCCAACATTCGCAGGTTAGTGCAGCACTTTTTAAAAACCTTTTCTGATCTGATTTGTATCATTTAGTTAAAAACAGTGACATTATGTGGTTGTGTTTCAGCTGTTCTGGCCCACATCGACGAGGCCCGGTATGAAGGCGTGCCCATTCTTTTGATCTCAGGGAAGATGTTAGATGAACGTGTGGGATACGCACGCATACTTTTTAAGAACAATGTCTTTTGCATCCAAAACCACCACAGCGTTCACTGCAAACCTAAACAGATCGTGTTCTACTTCGGCCACGGCAGTCTCCAGCATGCAGCGGTCCTCGTTAGCAAGAATTTATTCAAGCCAGCTTTAAAAGACCACAGGTGGAAGGAAGTGACTGAGCACACGGATGTCAGCGTTCTGGGTCTGCACATTTCAGACTACTATGTACAAACTCCGATAAAAGAGAAGGAAGCATACTCTGAACTCATATCTCACATCTTAGCTGGACAGAAAAACAGCTTCATCAGTACCGAGAACCTGTTGGCCTCCTGGGGTTTGTGGACTCCACTTCTCATGGGCCTGACCGGCTCTTTCCCCCGGATCTACCCTGGTGGAGCCGACAATGGGGATATGCTGGACGTCCACCTGAGAGGGAAAGAAATCCACTACAACAGCGAGGCGGTAATAATCGGTGTTGATCAGATAGGAGGCGCATCAGCCAACGGTTTCCAAGTGATGCGGGGCAAGTTCCGCAGCGCCGACATGGTGTCTGCCTGGACCGAGGAGCTGGTCGAGCGGCTGGCCGTGGACATGGAGGAGGCGGCGGAGGCAGCGGTGAACGAGGGCAGCGTTTTCCACCTGGCCTTGTCCGGCGGGTCGACCCCTCTGGCGTTGTTCCACCGGTTGGCTCTGCACCACTTCTCCTTCCCCTGGTGGAACACCCACGTGTGGATGGTGGACGAGCGYTGCGTGCCGCCGACCGAACCGGAGTCCAACTTCTACAACCTGCACGAGCACCTGCTGCAGCACGTGAGGATACCCTATTACAACGTCCACCCCATGCCGGTGCAGCTCAACCAGCGCCTCTGCGTGGAGGAGGACGGAGGAGCGCTGCTGTACGAGGGGGAGCTCCGGAAACTCATCAACGGCTCCAGCTTTCACTTCGTGCTGCTGGGCGTCGGCTACGACGGCCACACCGCCTCGCTGTTCCCCGGCGGGAAGCCGAGCGAGCTCGGGGAGAGCCTGGTGACGCTCACCGAGAGCCCCGTTAAACCTCATCAGCGCATGAGCCTCACTTTCAGCGCCATAAACCGGGCGCGCAGGGTTGCCCTGTTGGTGATGGGCAAAGGCAAACATGAGCTGATCACCCAGCTGAGCCGAGTGAAGGACGATTCAAACAAATATCCCGTCACTGGAGTGAAACCTGCCAGTGGCAGCCTTGTTTGGTATATTGACTATGATGCACTTTTAGGTTAGGAGGGGATTTTAACTTTCAATCCCTTTTTAAATTCCCTGAAGCTGCTTTAGTTGGTTTACTGGTTGGTGGGAAAATAATATGTATGACGCATAACAGAGAGGACCGGTACTTTTTTTTTAGTTTATACAAACTAAATATACTTGATGTTTCTCTTTAGTGTTCTGTTTATTTTTATCCACCATGCTTCAAGTTGAGCAGAAGGATTCAGATGTTTTTTCATACAGTAAAAAGAAAACTCCTGTATGTTAGCAGGTTTAGGGTGTAGGAGTTTAAAGCTGCTTTTAAATCTTTCATTTTGGTGGGAAAGTGGTTGAATATTTTTTTTGCGAGACTGTTTTTCTTTTCAGAATCAGAAGTGCACTTAAGAGTGAAATGAATGGAAAAATATGAAGCACGCATGTCTGCAGTTTATAGGTTACGCAGCGTGGGATTTTTTTTTTATAAATTCTGGTGCTAAAACCCAGTTTCAACAAACACTGGAGTGATTTGTGTGAATATATTTTATCTCAGGTAGATTTGCAAATACAGTTTGCAGTTTTCTGTGTATTCTGCCATATTTGATTGTATCATTTCTATATTTTCACTGCAGCAACCCGAATCTAATGTATTTGGTTTAAAAAAAAAAGTGCTTCCAAAAGAATAATTTCATTTACTCATAAAGAAAATAAATGCAAATTTTGTAATATTACAAAACATCTGTTAAAGGCCATACACAGGGACATTCCTTTAAGAAAATGCATTAAATTCAACCTGGAGTTTATTATTTTTTTGTGTGTCAACATTTTCAGACAGGATCTGATGTATTAGACGTACATGAAGTTGTACATATTGACCTTCCAATAAAATTATTTCAATGAGAAAGCTGTTCTAACTGAATTTGATCATGAATAAAAAATGGAATTAATGGAAATTTTCATACATTTTTATAAAATAAAATAGCATAGCAATAAAACGGTTAAAATAATTATTTAAAAAGACTACACGGCACATAAAAAAAAACTGGTTCAGACTAAGATATTTTTAATTATGGGCCATTTTGTATTTGCCACATGTAGTTTACAAAACTACATAATTATAATCTTATTGCTCAGTAAAACACATGCTGGTCCCAAACAAACAGTTCTAAACAACGAAGACATTTGCTTTTCTGTAGACATGGATTTAACTCACTTTCATTTTTTTCTCTCTCTTCCCCCCCCCTCATGGTTTAATGTTACCGTCTGCTGGCGGCTCCGAAACCTCATGAATTCTTTAAAAGAATGGGATCAGATGACAGCTGGACCGCTTTGTCTCCCCCTGTTTCTGTTTGTCCCCCTGCCTTTTGGTTAACCACAATCCCCCTCTCACCATGAAAAAACCTAAAACGGACACAAACAGGTGTCACTTTGTTAAAAAGCGCAGATTATTTCTGTCGACGTTACAGTCTGAGAGATGTCCCTCACCTGTGCTGAAGGTGGAGGTGACTGTTAGAGCTACGGACATGTAGTACAGCTCCGGAGTGGTTCTGGCCTGTGAATATGAAGGAAGAATCATTTGTTG